TATATAGGGGTATGCTCTGCCTCCTTATTTAGGCCTTAATTTCTTCAAGCAACTGTCCCTTATTTATTTATTAATTTATACTCCCATTAACCTTTTGACTATTACTCCTCTCACCACTAGTTGTGCAGTGTAGAAACCTTCTGGAGAGCTCAAGCATGTTGGAGCAAGCATTGTATTAATGTAATTGCTTGCTGCAGCAAGGCCCAGCATGACTGAGTGTTTATCTATGTTTCTGTTGCTGTAATTCCACAGGTCCTGTAATATTCCGTGAGCTTAGGTGATGAGGAAGAAAACTCCAATAGCTAGGGCAAGGAAAAAAACCCTTGATTTTAGAGATGGAGGGAAGACCAGAATGGGGAAGAACCAGATCTTGTGACCTCTTGGCTTCAGGTCTCTAAAGAAATGTCTCAGGTGACTGTGGGCAGCTAACCACAAAATTGCCACCTTCTATGAAAATTTGCTGTGATCAGAGAAATGCAGTTTGGCATACTCTTAGCGTCCATCTCTCCTTCCACATTTTTTGTGTTGCATGTAGATTTAACACAAGGACATAGCCACTGCCTGTGACAAAATTAGGGTAGAACACTACAAGGGACTTAATTTTGTTGTTGGAAGGCTTTTTCAGTTGGGAGTCCTGAGGTAGAACCTGTGGCCCCTCAAGGGCCATGGGTAGTGAGGGTTCCCTTCCCTCAGTGACATTGTCTTTTTTCTCCCTCACCTGAATTCTTGAGACAGCGTCAGAAACTGGCTCAGTGGTTTTATCGCCCTACCCTGATGCAACCACACCTTTTCAAACCTGGGAGCTAAGTTTGGGTCTAGACACTTCAGTCCCGTAGCAACAGAGGAACTGCTTTGCTGACTATTTTGTGCTGTAGAAAACTTGTGCGGGCTGTGGAGGAGGCTGTGATGGGCGGCTGGAGATGCATTTTCTTGGAGAGAGTGAGTCAAAGCAAACCAGAATATTTATTGGTGTTGTTAAGTGTGCCAAGTGACCCATCCCTGATGGGATATGGGAGAGATCCCTGTGTTGCTCTGCCTGCACAGCCAGTACATGTCTTCCCATCAGTGATTTACTGAAAGCTAAGAGACAACCAGCTAGGAAAACTGATGGAGTTTTGCAATTGTTAAATATCTGGCAAAAGAAAAAGGAACCTCTAGTGATATCTCTATATAAGCAAAGTAACATGACCTCAAGCAAACAAAGCTACCGTCTATTAAAACTGTCCCACAAAGCCTGCCCTTGCAATACGGCTGTGCTGCTCAGCTTCTGGTCTGTATTATCCAGAAAGCTCCCGGAAAACATTGTGTCCTCAGAGATGAAACGTGTACATTTTCCTTTCCTGCACATCTAATAAGAAACTAGCTTTTTGGTCTTCTCTTTGAGGGTGCAGAAGTTCTTCTACTGTTCATTTGCAAGGGACAAGCAGAGCTCTCTATCACCTTTTGAAGTTTTTATCTACCCTTTCCTGAGTCATTGTTTTTGCACTTCTGCAGCTGCAGTGTGAATACTTCAGAAAACTTCAAAGTTTTTGCAAGAGGAGGCTCTTTACTGTGCTGATGTTCTCCTAACTTGAGGCTCTTGGGTCTCATGACAGTATCAGAAACAGAAGGAACAGGCCAGAGAGAATATGTGTATATTCCCATATACAGAGGTGGTAGAAGTGTCTTAAATACTTTGAGTGTGGGTATAATTCTGGTCCTGGGGAAGTGATAAGATAGGTTTCAATACAGAGATACAGATTATTTTCCTTGATTGAGAAAAAAACAAATTCTGAACAGTACTGAAATATTTATTTGAGCAAAATGTTGTATGAAATGTGGGAAAGGATTCTAAGAAACCTCTTCCAGGAATTACTTGTAGATATTGGCCTATCATTCGTTGTACGTACTATGGGTTTTGAGACACTTAAAGTAGTTCTACAACTCCTTGTAGCTGGTATACATGTTAAATGACTGTAAGTGACGTCCTCCCTGAAGTTTGAATCAAGTCCAAATGCTCCCCTGCTGATATGAGCAGCGGTTAGACAGGCAAATTAGGAAGTCACTCTGTCTGAATTTAGGAAGATTAATTTATTGCTTCTATTTTTGCAATAACAATTAGTAGGCATGGACAAAAATGACGAAAAAAATTTGCAAAAAACAGATCCTCTGATCCTCTGGTGGAAAAGGAAGGAAATAAAATAACAATTTCAGTGGATTTTTTTCTGGCTCAGTCTATTTATTAGTATTGTTTCATGTTCAATATGTTTCAAAATACTCTTGTAAACACAATTGCAGCTGGTGTTGTCAATTCACTTGTGGGGAGAAAAGGAGTGAGAGAATAAGCATCTTGAAAATTAAATCGCATCTTTTATTCAGATGTCTTTTGAAGTCAGGACACAGGTAACAATGACCATATTCAATTATTAGCTTTATAAATTTGGGAATAATAAAAATTGCTTAGAAATTTTAACTGCTAGCTTGAGTTCTTCACAATTGCCTTATTGACATTAACTAGAATCAGTCAGTTCTTGTCAGGCCTTGGAGCAGCTCCTATAATGAAGGGAATATAGCTGAAGATAACAGTGAAAAGTTGTAATACTTTGAAGTCTGTTCAGCAGGGTTTTCTTCTCTTCTTTGGTGGGGACCAGAGGCAGCCAGTGTGTGTTTGGGTTTTTCACTTTTTTAATGCAGTCTAATTGTGCCTTGGTATTAAGACAGTACATCTTTAAATTTTCATATGAAAGTATGAGCTTTGGTATGACAGAATATCAAAGTGAAAATTAATGTCCGCCACTTGTATATTGCCTAGACGTTACTTTAGAGAGAAAACAACAGGAGCGAGACGAAGCCATACATATGTTAAATTCACATCAGTAATAAAGATTAAGTAGAAGTTAATAGCATCCCAGTCATGCTTGTGGAGGTAATCTCCTTTCTGAAAATTCAAAATTAGATTTGGAGGATCGAAGCAAACAGGGGGTGAGACTTTGGCGTAATATTTTAATCAAATTGTCATGAATGAGTGGATACAATTAAGAATTCTGTCAGTCAGAGTGCTGAGCCCCTTTTGTTAGTCAGCTGTTGTGAGGGATGCACTAGGGCATCGTGGGTAGAGATTAAACTTGACCTTTCCCAGGATCTTAATTTTTGACCCTCTGGCTAGGCTTTGCTTGTCAGCTGGCTATTTTTTTCAATATTTATTTAGTTATTTATTTTAAAGATACGGTAGTAGGATTTTGGGACAGACAAAGATGGTCCCCCATTTGTTATTTTTTTCTTCTTTTTTTCTTTAGCTAAATACAGCAGACAAGGCTCAATAACAGCTCCCTGTCAGCTGCAAAGTGCCCATCTAAGCCTCTTTCCTTCATTACTCCTCTGATGTGTACTGTATGTCATTCCTTGGACAAATTTGCAGCTGAAGAGTCTGTGCCAAAGGCAATACAACTTAACGTGCAGAGAAATGTTTTCTATTCAATAAGTTGTGCTCTAACATTGCTACAGCAGGGTTGCTTGGCTTTTCAAGTCCTTTAGATAACTCGGGCTTCTTTCTAGAAATTTTAACTGTATTTCTCAGGAGGATTTCTAAGAGTGTTTTTGGACAATTTTCTGTTGCCAAGAAATTTTGTTCTGTGCACAGTCCTCTTGAGATTAAAACAGATTTAACTCTGAGATTAAAAAACAAATACTTTTTCTTTTCCAGTTAAACCAAATAATACATATTTTAATTGCTTTTTATGTAAAAATATTCTGAAGTATGGAACTTTGTGCACTGATTCACAATGGAAGTATTTTTTTTTGTGAGAGTTTCTGTGAATTCGTGTTCTCTAAGACCAGACTAATAGGTGTTTGTCTAGTGGCCTGTTATAACAGTTTGTATTGTTGATGCTTTGTGGCTCCAACTGAGACCAGACCCTCCTGCCTTAGTCACTTTAGGTATGCCATTGGAGACAGTTTCTCTTTTCTGCTTTGGGATCTTAGCTATAGAATACCTACCCAAAAACTTGCTTGAGAAGAGATCGTTTTAAACAAACAAACAAACACCCCAAATTCAAATCAATAAAAATTTATATTCTGAATTTATCCTGATCAATATTCTTCTTGTTGGAAACCTCTATCGAAAAGTGACTTAGAAAAGATAAAATGAGTGATTCAAAAGGCTGATTTAATGTCTCTTCCCAATGGTTTTACTAGCATCCAAGCATTAAAATAGTCTGTATCTGATGCTAGAAAAACTGGGTGGAAAGAAAACAAAAATCGTGTTATTTCAACACCATGAATGGCTCCCCAAGGCATTAGAGTACATAAACACAACTACAAGAAATGCAAATATTAGAATCAAGGCTCACCACTCATTTATAAATGAAGATAAATCAGTTGTATGCAATAAACCGAGATTAACTTGATGCCTGAAGCATGTTCTATATTAGAGGTTTCCACATGCTCACACATAGGTGGGTTATCTTTTTTCTTTTCTTTTCTTTTTTTTTTTTTTTTTTTTTTTTTTTTTTTGTTTAGTAAAAAATGAACTTATTATTTTAAGCTGATCCCAGATGATTCTTTTATTATCTGTCTTATTTTTTCTTTTCCTTCCCTGCCTTTTTATACAGAGTGTTTAGTAAATAGAAAGAAGTGCTTTTGACATTGGGTGACAGTATGTAATCTACATTCCCACTGTTTGTTTTACCTTTTGTTACAGAAAGAATAAAGTCTGGGCAAGTTGTGCTAGTACATCAGTTTCTTTGCACTCCTCTGTACTGTAGGACCTAATTATATTTTAACACTGCATTTACTCCACTTGCCTGGAGAACTATTTCAAACAAACTGACAGACTTATTGTATTGTGACATCATAGTAACTATTTTTTATTGTTGTTTTGGGTCTTTGTTTGTGCCTTTAAGAAAAAAAACACAGAAAACAAGCCCTTCTGTGAATTCAGCCATAGCACAAGAAATTGCATTAACAACATTTAAGCAAAGTGTTGAAAACATACCGAAATAAACGCTAGTGCACTTCAGGGGTTGATAGGAATATGCAGCAAAATGCTTGGCATTTAATTTTTTTTTTCTTCGGGAATTTAGCCAGTGAAATATAGCTGCCAGTGTCTCAGGCCTGCGTGTGTTCTTCTGCAATATGCTCTCGATCAATCAGATTTGCATAACTAAACTGTCGGCAAGCCCGCTCGGCTGCCCAGGTGCAGGGCCATTTGCATATAGAACAGTGAGGAGGTCCCAAGAGTCACTTCAGACTCCAGTGACTGCTGAGCCCGCAGTCCACACCGCACTGGAAATGAAATTGGAATGACAAAAAAATGGTTGTGCTAGTCTGCAAGGGTGAAATATGCACTTGTGTTTCAAAGGTTATGTAGAGATCACAAGACAGCATTCAGGCACAAGAATATGCACAAGCCTCCAGGAAAGTAAATGCTGTTGTATGTGTTTTGTTTCCCTTCCCCCAAACACAATGATACGTATTTATTTATTTTTATACATATATATCTATGTACATAGATATATATGTATATACAAAAATATTTATTTTTTCCTTTAAAGTTGAGTATGACGTTTCATATATTCTTAAATACTTAGGTATGGAGGAGGCAAGGAATGCAGGTGTGCTTTAACTATATAGTTCTTTCCAATTAAATCTCCTGGGGGACAAAACATAAATAAGAGACCTTTCTCTTCAGTTTATTTTTCTCTGGAATGTGCATCCACTTTTTCAACATGTTTACCTAGAAGTCTATCTGCTGCTTCCTGGACTATTTATTACTCAATTAGAAGAGCTAAATGGTGAATAATTACCACAGTATCGATACAGCTGGAAATAGGATAAGGAAAAAAAAATGGATTACAATACTGATTACTGAAAGCTCTTTATCTGAGGCTTGCTATAGGTACAGCTGTCCCTACATTTAGTTATCCCAGGAAACAAAAATGTAGAGTGCTGAAGTGATTTTCCTCTAGGAAAACAGTGATCTATTGGCACTCTGAAAGAAACAGATTTAGTGGCACTGTGAGAGATCTAGTACAAGATTCTCTGTGCCAGTCATTAAGGAAGGTGGCCTCCTCTTCCCCTTACCGCATCTCACTAAGCACTGAAGGCAAAGGATACTCTTCTTAGCTCACTTGATCAGGCTGCAGTGTCAGATGCCATTTTACCAAGGAAGTTTTTGGGGTGCAGTATGTACTGTGTGGGGCTGGAGCCAACTGCAACTTCTCACAGCAGAGCACGTCCCAGCCCTTGCAAGGGAAAAACAGTGCAGATTTGGCCCCTGCTGCAATGCACTATGTTGGTGGGGGAGGGCAGGAGACAAGGTGTCCCTCCTGGTTTGAATGTCAGTTGTTGTCAAGTTGGCATCCTGAGCTGTTTCCATGACAACAGCTTTTTGTGCTGGGGGACGAGGTCATGCACCTGTGATCTCGATGAAAAGGACAATGAGAGAATGTACATTATTTAAAGCTTTTATCTTCCAGTACGTGTTTGAGTATAACCTTGAAATTGGGTGAATAAAGGGCAAAGTATATTTCTATGCATAGGGGTGAGGCAAACTAAATTGGTTAGGAAGAGCTGTGAGAAAGATTGGGGGCATTTTACAACATGGACGCTTCTCTAACTTTTCATAGATGGGTCCAACTGTCTCATCAACCTTTTATCCTGTATATCAGCACAAGTTTCTCTGGAGTGAAAGGAGTCCATCATTCTTGTGAGACTGAAAAGAAGGGCAAGCCATAGGCTGTGACTTGGTATTTTCCTGCGAGGGTTGGATTAAGTTGACCCTTATGATTCTGCTTAGGTTGCCCACCACAGTTTCTATTGTGTCAGGCTCTGGTTGAACATGAAATGAAAAAATAATTTTTGACCCAAAGAGCTTCCGGTCAGAGTGATTATGTGTCACTCTGCACCTTCATTTGTTAAAAATACCTAAATATTTTCAAAGCTTCACATAAGGCTTCAGTTACGTGAGACCTGCTAGAAATAAACAAAAATTGTATTTTACAAAAAATAAGCTGGCTACTCCTTACATTTTCCAAAAAAAAAGGAAATTCTGAAAGACAAAAATTAAAACCAACTAGAGATGAAAAATTAAAACCAACCAGGGTTTTTTGGTAAGAGCTTCTTATTCTGTCATTGTTCTAGGTGTTGTCAACTAACTACAATCAAAATGGGTTTGGCTGGCTATAATTTTCTTCTTTACAGAAACACTGGAAAACATTATTGAAGTATTTGTCTCATGAGGAAAGAAACATATGGGTGACTTACTGTGACTGAAAAAGAAACCAGAAAGACAATTCCATTAAAGAATACTTAAATAATGAAATCAAATAAACTAACCCAAAATGAGGAAAGAAAGAAAACCTCAACTGACTCAAATGGAAACACATATTATTACTATTCATAAAATATGTTTGTATTTTATATGTGTGTATGATCTATATAGGTAAATCAACACATTGACATTTTACTTCAAATACTTGTGCCTTTTTGCCTGTGAGAGTCATCTTCTGCACGACATATTGAAAGAAAACCCGTAGACCATGGTAATAAAGCAGGAGGTGCAATGAGAGCAGTTGAACAAATTTTTCTTTGGTTATAAGTCATAAACTTCAGAGATGATTTGGATTGGAATTTTCACAGCTCATACACATCAAGTATTTCTTTAAAATCAAAACATTCAGAGTGGCTTTCAAATTTCTGCTGTTATGGAATGAAAAGAACTGCACCAAGGGAGTAGAAATAGACATCACAGAATGAGAAGAATCATTAGAACAGTATATAGTCCAAGGAATGGCTACAATTGTTTGAAAAGACCATAAAGGTTAGGTGGTGTAAGCACAGATGACTGCGGCCCATATATATTTTTCCTCCATTGTGCTCTTGGAGGGCAAGTGATTCCTTCAGTGCTGTCCCAATGGATAACAGAGATTTCCTGCCATTACTTCTCCTTGTACTGACCGCCTTTTGCCCCATATGGAACTACTAGAATATATGGGTGTCAGGAGCAGGTTTGTGAGGCTGAAATGAGAAAAACAGGCCTATACAGATGCATAGATGCCCAGTCACCAGAGCTATGAGGTGTGTCCTAGAAGATAAACAAACCTTTGCCAGGCTAGAAAAGGACAAGTTAAAGTACAGGTCCCCCCAGTGTTCCCACCAGCACAGCTAAGATTCCAGGGTTTGGTAGTTACACATTGAAACTCTCCTCTCCTCTCTTGATATGCAAGAGGAGACACTCACTGGCTCCCTCCCTCCCATCTTAGTATAGGTCAGCTGCTGTGCTTTGTGCCACTGGGCTTGGGGAGAGCTGAGCAGGGAAAACAATGCACAGTAACTGTTACTGGTGATATATGAGGGAGAGAGAGATCACTGTCACAGTATATCTGCTATTTTCAATTTAATTAGTAGTCAGAACTTCATTTGTCAACTTAATCATTGCAGGCAGACACCGCAGAGGTGGGAAGTGGGGGGAAAAAATCAAGAAAACAAACAAAAAAAGGCCCATTTGTGGCTCTGGGCACATTTTATTTGTTTCTCAGCTCAGTTTATTTCAATATTTCTTATATGCCAAAGTTTAGATTAAAAAAATGATGAATGTATGTAGTCTTGTCATTAAGTATTGGATGCAGAGGAACTGGTTTCGTCAAGTTCTTTCAGTAAAATTGTGCTGTAGCCTGCAAAACTGCTCGGCTTCTCCGTGCTTCCAGTTTCTTTCTCTGTTAAGTAAATAAACATGTATTCTTGTTTCAGCTGAAGAAAACTAGATTTTGTCATTTGGGTGCTGCTATTGATGGCCAAACTGAAGGAAATTTTGCACAAAACAAGGAGAAACTCCATCTAGTTCATACAACTCAGTAATTGTATTTGCCTAACTTTGGGTTAAACCAAATTTTGAAAGAGTAAAAGTGGGGAAGTTTTAGCCCTTAACTGCACTCTCCCATGAGAAGGAGTGATGTGGTAAAGCTTTAATGGGCAAAGCTTTGATGGGCATAAATAGTGCTATCCTTAGTCAGGTGTTATGAGCTTTCTTTTAAACCCATTTAGGTTCAGTATGAAATAAGAAAACCCTATAAAACAGGTCAAGTTTCTGTTCTCTTGCCTCAGTTATCCACTCTTGTCTGATGAAAGGCTGTAATCAGAACACAGAGCCTGGAGAAGACATTTCTTAGGTAAAACAAGTGCTGCACCATCCAGCAAGCACAGCCAGGAGAGGCTGTTGGGCTTGCAGTGGCAGTGGGCTGAGGGCTGTGTGTGTATGAACATCAATTCTCAGTGACAACAGTGGCACAAAGGATCAGCTCAGGCTGAATCACTACCCCTCCATTCCTGTCAGCTGCTGCTGCTTCAGACATGGGAGGGGAAAAATGTCCACCCATGTCATTCATGCCCACACAGCTACCCTGCTGTGCCCTGAAGTGAAGGAACCTCTGCCCTGCAGGCTCTGTCCCTCACACTGGTGGCAAGGCAAGAGTTGCTGGCACTACTAGCATGGTTAAAACTTTCCACTAGTCTTCAAGGGAGTTGAATGACTTGTTCTGGTCTTCTCTCCTGCAGTGAGACTGTGAGGAAACTCCTGCTGCAGCATAAAGTTCCTTCTTCTTAGTCCTGTTGTCTTATGACAATAATGGTTTAAACACCCATAAGTCTATTATCATACTTTTCTCTATGATCATACTTTTCAAAGTGGATTAATAGTAGTATGCTATTTGAGGAAAACTTCAATGGCAGGTGGTAGTTTTTTACAGGAAGGCAGGGGTTTTGCACTTGATGAATTTTAGCTTTCAGCTTGACTTCAAGGACTGCTGGTGGCACAGGGACCCTTCATGCTGGCTTGCAGTGTGAAACCCCTGCTATAGACCCTCAGGGCCCCTGTAGCCTCCGGTTCTGCCTGCAGTGAACTCAGGCCAGACTGCCATCATTTGCTGACCTCTAGGCCATACCTGACTTGCATCTGTTGCCGTTCCTCACACTGCTGCCCAGCACTACTTTTAGCAAGGAAAAGAGAAGTAGAAAAGTTTCAGGAGAGTGGAATGGGTTGGGACTGAGGTCAGTGGGAGCTGATGGATTCTGTGAGGGAGTTGTTGGGTAGCATGTCCTCTAATGCATGAACAAGAGCAGGAGGATCAAAGTGTGTAGTTTAGGCTGCAGCCTACCCCATGATTGAAGTCCCTCAGGGCAAATGGTCCTGTGTAAAATCATATCAGAATTGCTGAGTAATGGAAAGTCCTTGAGGAGGAGAGATGGAGAGTCTTAGGCCTTAGCAAAAGGTGATAGTGGTGGTATCATATTGATGCTGGGAAGTTCCAGTAGACCCTATGGAGTATATAATCTGAAGAGATTGCATGGACTCAAAGGCTGGGGAAGAAGTCGTGTCATGAAGTGCTGTGACCAGTCACCAGAAAGGCAGGTGGCAGAGCTGGGACTGGACTCCTGTCCCATACTAAGTTGCCTCAGTGAGAAAAGTTTGCTGTCAAATCCCTACTATGGCTGCCACTCTTCCAGATGAAGTGTTATCTCCTTTGTCATCAGCTGCTGAACTCTGGCCACAAAGGACAAGATTCATCATGTGTTTATGTGGATTTGCTCTGTGAAAGAAACAATCGTCCATGTCTTAATTCAGGTGTTATGAAATATGTGTGCTGATGATCTCTGTTTGGATGGTTCTTTTTTTTCCATAAAAATATAGTTTGTAACTTTTTATTTTTGATAGGCACTTTTGGAATTGCACATTTATTTTGTGAATAAATGTTGAAAATAAATTTAAGAGGGTGTGCAACCATTGTCAAAGCACATTCTTAAAACGTGTGTGAATGTGCTTCTATGGCCTTCTAACCAGATGGGTTGGAAGACAAAACTGCCTGGCTTCTTCTATGGTGTGATGATTCATGAGTCACACCAGCTCCCTCTGTGCCTCACCTCTTTCTTCCCTTTGTCCACCTCAAGGCTCTTCAGCAATATTTTCTTTACAGCCTTGTGTGGCCTAAATCATAGTTTCAAGCCAAAGTGCTATTGTAACATAAATAATATGTAAAATTTTGCATAAGTATTATAATTAATTTATAACATGGTCTCTTATGCAGGATTCATGGACCTTTTAGGTAATATTGTTCTGGTTTCTCAAATGAGTTTTACTGTCAATTGTAAAGGTTCTCTGAAGCTTCTTTATTTTGAATATTTCTGATGTGTCTGAAGTATTTTGGTACACAACATTTAAATACAATAGGAGTAATTAAAAAAAATAGAATACTGATCCCGACAAAGTCACTCTTGCTCTCTTTCCTTTTGTCAGATTTCTCGTCAGTTTTGTAAGAATGTTTTGCTTTAATGTCTAACCCAAACCTGCTATTACAGAAAAATATTGGTCAGAACTAATGAAAATGAGCCTTACTCCTACTTTAGTAATTTCCCACTATGAATTCTTTGTATCTCAAAGGAACCCTTCATTAGGAGAGCTCACAGCTTTTGAAAGAGCAATGAATTTGTATGTCATTGCAACAGCCTGTTGAATTAAGTGGTTATGATCCCCATTTTACTGATGAGCAATCTGAGGGACAAGAGAAGTAACTTGCCTAGGGCTATGTGGTAAATCAGTATTTGAACATGCCTAGTTTCTGTCTTCGCCACTTACAGTATTTTTGTTCTTTCTTTTTTTTTTTTTTTTTTTAATGTATATGTGTGTGTGTGTGTCTTTCCTGACATTTTTATTTTCTTGCAAATTAATGTAAATTGAACAACCACTCTTGTTGGTACTGGTTATTAAGGTTCACTTTTATTTTTTATATATATATGTATATATACACGCATACTTTTTATATACACACATATGTACTCTCTCTCTCTCTCTTTTTCTCTCTCTATCTTTGTAAAGATCCACATCTAAATGTGGGTGCTACAGTGGGAATGTAGGGGCTGAACTATTGTTTGAACTAACTTTGCTTGTTAGTTAGATGTTATGGCTCTAGGAAAAGGTGACTGTTTACTTGGCATGTTCCAGTAATCTAATTGGAAAAGTGGAATTACCACTTAGAAGATGAGCAAGAATGATGGGGAGAGAGGATCTTTAAGTCATGAAGCTAAAATGAACTGAAGTTATATGCTGGAAAGTGCTGCCGTTGCTGCTGTGGAGAGAAGCTTTATTTGAAATTACAAAATGAAAATTACCGATCAATGCAGCCAGAATGGAATGATTGATACCTCAATTGCACTTCCAGAAAATGTAACATAGCATAAAGATACACTATTTACCTTCTTTTCAATTCCAAGTTTTTGCACATTACAATAACATATATAAATGCATAAATGGGCATTTCCAGACAGTGCAGTTGGGAGCAGAGATGAAAAGAGCTGCAGTATTTATCAAACTTCAGGCAAAGCTCAGCTGCGGTAGTATTTCCTTCTGGGAAAATGGTGACAAGGGTGGTCTCCCATGGCTGAAGCTGTATTTTCCTTCTCTATGTGAGGCTGTGGAACTTAAGGGTCAGGAAAGAACTGCACCTAATGTCATCTGCATGGACTCTGTTACCTGTGCAATCACAGGATGCAGAATGACTGCTCAGAGCACAGGTCACATTAATGTCTTTTCTGTCCCTACAACAGTTCCTAGCAAGGAACCTAAAAGTTCAAAAGTTCTCAGCTTAATTCTTCCACCTTTAGGAACCTTAGTACATCTGCCCTTGTACCTCTTGATATGTTTATGCAATTGCCAGAAGCAGGCTTCCTGGGACTCATGTTTTCGAGTAGTGACCTAAGGAGAAGAATTTGTGCTCCCTCTTTGGTGGATGTTTTGATGGATGAAGTATGGAATTTACATCATAGAGGTGAAGTCCTTTGCCTCATTTTACTTAATGCATGAAATAAGAATGTTTCAGTGTTTACACACAGGATATAAATAAATCACCATTCTAAAGCCTGGGCCAGATCCCTCTCCTTGTATTGTTCCTGCTTATTATTTATGATTTCCGGGTTTGGATAAGCTGTTGAGCACATGCTGAAGAAATGGGGAATACTTACTGGTTTACAAATATTCAGCACAAAACTGCACAAAACTTAAAGAATAAGAGTTAAAAGTTTATTTTGGCTTTTGGAGAAGCCTTGTTTGTACAATGTCTACACCTCTGGCTATGTTTGACCTGCTGCTACTTCAAGAAGCTTCCTGTGAGATTTTACAAAAATATGATTTGAGAAACTGCCTGTTCATTTTTTCAATTGCTAAAAGTATCTATATATAGACAGGTTAAGGTATTTATATAAATATGCTGGTATTCAGGAATGCTTAGCTCACTGTGTTTCTGTAACCAAAAGGAAAGGTCAAGTCCTGTGTGTGCTTGTATAAGAGCAATAGCACAATTCAGTTTTCTGTTACAGACTTCTAACAAATTTACACTGCTGTAGTGTAATAAGGAGTTTGGACCTGTAATATCTTTATGCCCTATTCATCACCCTTCTCAGAAACTCTAATTTTCTATGACATCATGAGTGGTTGCTACGGATATGATTGCTGTGACACAAGCATGATTAGTGATTAGGACATCAGATGAAAAATGTTATGTGAAGATGAACTCTTCAGGATCTATGGTCTGTTTTCATGCAAATGTCCCTAGTATGAAGTGGAGGATGAGGAATGCAGAAAATAGAATAAATAACTAGAATTGCCTCTAAATGAAATGTTTTACCAAGTTTTCCCTGAAGCGTCAGCAGCTCTTTAAACATGCTAGTGATGGCCCATCACAAAGCCAGATGTTGCCATTTATCAAGTAAAGTAAAGAGCCCCTCCTGCTTCCACAAATATGAACTGAATATGAAATCAAATGGGAAACCGCTGCACTAACACTGGAGAAGATATAATGCAACTTTTAAGCTATTGGCAGTCTTGAGAATAAAAGAAGTGTCTGACAGGAAAGAGCAAGTGTCAGAGGCATTACTTGATTTGTCTTTCAAAGGTGAAATTGCCGTTATATGTATGGACTTAAATCACCTGGTGGATGTCCTACAGGTCATATTTCCTTCTCCCCTCTCTTTGTTACCTTCTCTTCCCATTCCACACACAGGTCAAATGCTTCTTAGGGAAAAAACTTAAGGAAGTAATCCTTTAGCAAGCTTCCTAAAGCCAAGCCTAGTGAATGGGCATGCAGGGCACACAGGTAGCAGTTGTAAACACTTTCTGTTAAGCATTCTTTCTCTTCAATGTCAGTCTTAAACCTGGTTAAAAAAAAAAAAGAAGTTGGTCTCCATTTAGGTGGGCACAGCTGAGCCAGCCCTGGACGACAGAATTGTGCTAATGCTACCCCATTCACCAGCAGCATCAATCTTCATGTTTTGTGAATGATGTAAAGCATCCAAATTCTGCTTGTCTCCAACACTGGCCTATATGGTCAGGCAACACCAGTAGTAGAAGTATTCTTTTCTCATGGTGTTTTATCTCGAAATGTATCATTTCCACTCAGATGAGGTCCTGGCAATGTAGCATGTAGTAACTGTTTTAATGGTGGACTGATGTAACTCACTGGCTTCAGGATTAAATGTAGAGTCATTCAAAGACTTCAGATCTTAAAAAAAGGCAGTGCAAAATGACAGAAGATTAGTGTATGTAGCTGTAACAGTCCTTCAAATACCTCCAAATAGGTTGGGAGGGAGAGGTGTAGGAAAACAATAAAGTTGGAAAAAAACAGATGTACTTTCATGAATGTAAGTTCTTTTACAGATCTGAAGATTAAGCAGAAAACTTGAGTATATATTGAAGGTAATTGTTTGGCTAACTTAGTTAGGTTAACTATAATTAGACAATTCAGAAGAAGGACAGTTGGGACCTGTAGTACACTAGGTGATATTAGGAGAAGAGATGTCATGAGGGGTGAATGGATTTTTTATTTTTTGATGTATTGAATTTTGAGGAGTTAGTTGGAATGGCATATAAGGAAAATTATAAAATGTCAGAAAACCAGTACTGCTTCCAAATGTATGATTTTAAGCACTACGTTGAATTATTTTTTAAGTTTCAGACTCTTTTTTTTAGAAGCAATTTGTATGTTTCCTTTACATACAAAGCCTGAGAGATCATGATCTGAAAAGCTGTACTGTGAAAAATGTTATCTCACTGGAAATTATTGTTTCTGTGCTTTGTGTGTTTCAGTGTTCGCTCTGGTGCATAGTGATGAAGTGTGTTGTATCCTGGGATGAATAAAGAAAGGATAGTTCCATTGTGTGATGTTGACTGTGGTGGCTACGGTAATACACCTGCATTGCTGGCTGTGTTATGTATTAGCTGGTGCCTTTCAGCATTTGGCTTGATACTCACACATGGGCTATAGGGGTCATTTTTGTAACTACAGTTATGGCTGATTTGTCCTGGGTTAGGTATACTGCTGAATATGCTGCTGAAGTAAGTGAAATTAGTTCCCAGTTTCCCCCTGCCACACAATAATATAACTGCTGTCAAGCGTAGATAGGGGTCACTCTGTCCCAGTGCCACTACTAGGTGTACTTTCTCCTCCAGAAGGAGGACTGAGGCAAAGTCCAGCCCATCTACAGAAGCTCCAAAGGGCCCTGGGCACATTTTCTACCTCTCACATCTTCCCCTCACTTTGGTGCCTGTTGTACAATTTGAGACCAATATGTTTCAGGAGGGTGGTTGTGGAAGTGGGGGAGGGGTTCGTTAAATTATGGTTGCTGTGGGAACCATAACTTTGAATTTCTTGACATCTGTCCAATGACAATCTCAACATTAACGTTGCATTAACATAGTTTTTTTGCATTTAATTAAAAAAGATGATGGCCTGGAATCTGTTAAGGAATTTAAAGCCAACATTTAAACTGTTTGCTGGGAGCAGATATGTCAGAGCCTCTGCTCTGGAAATGCTCACAGAAGAGTCTGACAATGTACAATAGCCACAGAGATGAGAAATGAAAGCAAAATGTTTGTAACACCATTGCTTGCCTCCTTCTGGTGGCTTTGCCCATCTTTCTCATCTGAAGGGAACTGCTCTGACTGAGTTTAAAACAACTTGGAAATGAAGTCATTGTTTCCAATTCCTCTGTATGCCATCACCAGTGCTGGCCACTGACCCACTCGTGTGTGCAGGCTGAGTTTTCTGGGGGCTTGCTTCTCCACCCTACACTGTCATCCTGCAGTTTCTTAAGAGACTATGGCAGAAGCTCTTGCACGTATCAAGATAGAGGCACAAGACTGTAGTAAATGTCTGACTACAGCATTCATTCTGATTTCTGGACTCTTAAAAATGTGTCTGGGTTTCCCAAGTACTATTCCAGTGCACTCGCTAATTGGTTTTGATTTTGAGGGTTATGCAAAAAAAAGTATTTACGACTGATAGGTGTCTCACCTCCAAAGGTTTGGGGGCACTGAGCTTTAGAACTCTCTTTTGTAACCTCATGTTATTTCAATAAGTTCAGCTATCAGACAAATAGACATATGGACTATGCTAAAGTTAGGTGCTGTAGATAGGAGAAAGATGTTCATATGGCACCCATGTTATTTAGTCTTCTCTCATAACAGAATACCATACTGTTAAAAATTGTCTATTTTTATGTAATTCTTCCACTTACATTGAGATAAAAAAATTATTAGTCTAAGGTTGGCTCACATCATCGGAGCTTCTAAATGTTGGCAACTTCCCTACAGTCTGTTGCAGGCAATAACTGCCAGGGAAGTTGCTTGAACACAAGCAAAAAATAGGTTTTCCTGCTGAGCCACCAGCCCAGCAATGTAAAGAATAATTTAATACCATGGCCTTAAGAAAGTTTCCATGTTCTTCACAGACAGTCGTGCCTTCAGTAAGGTGACGGAGGGAGAATATAAAATCCCAGAGTTACTGCAAGCCTTGAAAAAGTTGTGAAAGAAGACTTGGCAGTTAGTAGCTTTATGTAAAAGATTTTTGCATATAAATTGCATACGCATATGACATTTTAGCTCCAACTTTACATGTGTTTTGGAGGTTGGATGCAATCTTGTCCCTGCCTGTCTGTTTGGTTTTGCCATAGCTGCATCAATATTAATCCTGTTGGTTTTTCCCTCTGGCTTTTTTCTTAATTTACCTCTCTCCCAGTTTTGATTTAAAAAGTGGTTGGTTCCTTTTATCCTAGAAAAAAAATCTAGGCATCTCTTTTCTATTTTTTAATGAATTATTGTATTTAAAGCATACATTTTTCTTTTTTGTATTTTGTAGTAGGCACTCTAGTATTCATCTGGTGACAAGAAATGGGTAGAGAGCTGATAAAATGAAGAGATATTCCTTTACAGGAGTCAATTTCTCTTCTTTAAAGGGAAAGAAACATTCTTTAAGTATTACTGCTATCCTATCTCCCTCTGCCTATCTCCCCCCTCCCATTATCATCAGAGAATCACAGGCTTTTCCTTACCAAGTGGCTGCACACAGTATTTAAGAAATATCACTATTTTGAGCTCAGATTTGGATGGGCTGTTTAAAATGACTTGCTGTAAATTAGCTCCTCCTTTTGTTTGGAAATGGTCAGTGAACAGTCTAGTTTATCTCCCTCTGTTTTTGTCTCTTTATTAATATCCTCCTGGCCACTGTATTTATTTTTTGGTTTTCTTGTTAACTGATCTGAAAAACAGAATCTGGTTTTGGCTTATCTTTGTAAGCCTTGTTTGTAAGATGCTGTGACATGGGGTAGCTGTCCCTCATTCCCTGCATGACTGAGATGGTTGTGGGCAGAAACCTCTGAACAATCTATAGTTCTTCAGCTTCCTGAAACATAATCAGAGCTATGAAATTTTCACACTCAGCCCAAGCAGAAATTACAGATTTCCTCAATATTAGTTGATGAAATAAGCAACCCCTCTTTACCTTCAGTTCTAGCAGCAGTGACTCATTTCAGCCAAGTCACTTTGACTTACCTTGTTCCTAAAGTGAGAGAATCAAGGCACTCTGGGATATGGCAATTCATGACCTACCTCTGTAGCAGAAGGGAGCTTTTATTTCAGAAGCAGTCTATCAACAAGTGATTTGCAGAACTGCATCTCATTGCAAAAGTACTTTTCCTCTATGAAATATTATTGATTATTTGAAATTATGTTTGAATTTTTTTATTTGTTTGGGTTTTTCCTACTAAAATTTCACACATTACTGATTTGTTGCAGCTGTTTTAATGAAATGAAATTTGGAGAGTTTTGAGAGCTAGGAATTATCTTTAAAGCCTCATACTTTCTAGCACACACCCACAAAAAATTCTATGAAAGTTTTTAAGTAAAAAAATTGTTTTCTCACAATCATTCTCACTAATTTCATGAGGTGGACACATGATACAATTAATACCTTGCACCTGTGGTTCAAAAGAAATATAATTGATGACTCAGTGGTTCCAGTTAACACATTTGATTCCTAAGTGTATAGAAGTTGCTTCC